GATCGACGATAGGGAGCGGCGTTTGTTCGAAGGGTTAGGATTGCATTTAGGGTTGCCGGTCTGTCGGCCATGATCGAAATGGTTGTCTTGTGAAGATCGCATAAAGAACCAGAGGCATTCTCACTCGGGGATTATCGATATACAAGCCAAGAGAACCACAGGGTCATTGGTGCGAAAATGAATCAATTTCTATGTGGAATGCCAGCGAATCTTCTGGCTTGTAGGTTGTACAGTTATTTTTAAACAACTGCAAATATAAGAATAGGCAGTCATTTTTTGTTACACATAACCAGCCGAAGTAAATTGCGCACTAGCCATTTAAAAACAATTTTGAATAAATAATTATCGGTTGCATCCACACGCACACACGATATGCGGGGTTATCTATAGGATCCCACCGATTTCCCGTACGCTCTACCCTGTGAAATCAATTTAAAATCAAATTACGCGCAAATTATCCAACGTCCTCATGAATTTTCCAAGAAGTGCGCAATACCCGAAGGATATACGTATCCATGTGCCGCATGAAGCGACTCTATATATCGCTATTGCAATTATTATGCATTTTTCATTAAACTGGGAATGGTCAAGCAAATTTGGCATGACTTACAAAAACAAAAAAAAGAGAAAGAAATTGCTGCACCGAGCCGAGGAAATTTCCAAGTTGCTAAGCAAATTAAGTGTAATTTAGTAGGGGTTCTCTCGTAATCCCCTGCCTTTGCGTATTTGTCAACTTAGCACATCGATAATTTTTCCTTCCCCCTTTGCCGAACGACAATTTTAACACAATTATGAAAAACGTTTCCAAGATGGTGGAGCAGGAAAATTTCGGGAGGTGGGTGGTCCTTTTAAGGGTTGTACACTATAAAAAAATGAAAAAAAATTGGCCCTCAACCCCCAATTGACCCCCTTTCTTACTCCGTCCGTCAAAGACTTTGTGGGGGAAAACACAAAAAAAAAAAAACCGAAAAAACTAGGGGGCGGACACGCCCATTTAATTGAGCCTACGGCTTGGAGGAGGTGGGCGTGTGAGGGCGGGACAGGCCAGTGCACTTTGATTGCGTTTTGTCGCCGTCAGCTGAGTTTTTACCCAAAACGAAAATACAAAGGAGCAAAAAAATAAATATGGAGGAAACGGGAAATTTTTATTTATGAAAATTAAACAAGTGAACTTTGACAGGCGGTTGCCCAGGGGTTGACCCGAGAATAAAAAAAAAATAAATGTATATGGAGAGAAAAGTGACATAGTGTGTATCCTTTGGCGTGTCATTAAATATTTTTGTCTGTCACATTATCGCATGCCAGGCACAAACGCTGACATCAATTGAAATCGAGGGGGTCCAAAGCTACGTGGGAGTGGATTTAACAATAAAAGTGGTGATATCTTTACACAAGTCATACTTTTTAAATATCCAAAGTGAATACAAAAATTTATAAGGCCAAAAGCAGCTGTTTTTTTATCCGTTTTTTAAATAGGGTTTAAAGAAAATGTCTGTGCTTATAAAACGCCACTTTCAATTAGCTAAATACTGGCGAAATCAAAGCTATCTCGCACCCTGTTTTCATCGCACTTGAGGTCAACGCTTGATAATTTTTGACACTGTTTATAGATTTATTTATAATGGTTTCCCTCATTTGAAATGCCATTTCCTTGACTTCGCACCGAAAGTGTCGCCAAGTGTTCGAGGGGTGTGGAAAAGCGAAGGGAAGTGGAAGTGCCGCAGCTCGACGAGACTTTATTTATTTGCGCTTAGACAGCAATTTCAATTAATTGATAAGTCACAGCAACAAGCTGAAAAGCATAGAGAGATTTCACGCTGTTTGCTTTAGCGATTTAATTGCCAGCGACAAATTGAGAAGGAGGGAGAGAAATATAGAAATATAGAAATAGAGAAACGCTTTGAGTGGAATTTAATTTTAGCCTGTAAACGATTGAAGTCAGATGATTTTATTTAAGGGGACAAGGTAACGAGGCGATTTTTGTTTCAAATGAAAAATAAATTCAAGCTGATCTCTCAAGAAAATAGTTGAAAACTATTAACCAATTTAAAATTGAAAATTTTATACCGTGACATATTCTTCTGTGGCACTTAGCAATTTGTTAGATGGCCAAACATGTTAATCAACAAAACTGTTTTTTCCCGAAACAGCTGCCAAGCTTTTGTGCACGAAAAACTAAAGCCAGAAACATCGAATTATTGCATCAATGAATCGAAGCGAAATTCGCTGGAAAAAAAATGAAAAAATGGTAAAAACAAAAACGATTGAATCGCACCAAGTGAATGCAAATCCACTCGCGAAACATTCAAGTGGCACTCACATGGAGAGGAGAAAAAAGGAGGGTGGTGTTTTCCAGGGGGCAGGCGGCAGGAAAAACAATAATTTTGACATTGATGATGATGGGGCAACGGCAACAGAAGCGGCAACAATAATTCTGTTTGCTGTTTTGCCATTTGGTTGTTGCTTTTTTTTCGCACGTCTCGCAAGCATGCAACAGCAACAACTGCAACAGCAACAACAACAACAGTAATAGCAAAAACAACGTACGTAGTATGTGGCGTGCAAAAAAGTTGCAACTTACACACAGCCATAATCTCCATATGTGTGCTAGGTACAAGTACTTAAAACTTTTACAAGCCACTCGGGGCTCCCCTGCCGCCTCCCCCTTTCGCCCCCTTTCTCCATCTCGCCTGCCCCGATTCCTCATCTAGGGCCGCCCCCCACCGACGCCCCCTTTTACAACAATTGCATGCCACACTTTGGGGCAATCCCCCAAGTCCCCGCTCCTCCCTCGCCCCCCTTGCAGGGTCATGAACTCGGCAACACGGCGAGAAAATTGAATTGTCATGTTCTACTCAACTTCCCAACTAGCATTTAAATAATTTTGCACTCAAAAGTCACTTTGAATTATTAAATCATTTACTTGCCACAGGATTTGAGGTGCATTTACACAGCATACAGATTATATTCGTCCCATGATCTGTGTTAGATATAGTAAAACTATTTGTTTTAAGTGCACATATTTGCCCACCAACTTGAAAAGTGAAGAAACGAGGAGTTGGTTTTGGTTTGGTGTTTTTTTTTTTTTTTGAGGGGAGTTGCAATGTTGTTTTTTATGCTTATGGCTTGGCCACTTGGTTTAGTTTCACACTTCAAGTCGCCAAACTGCTAATGAGCTTAAGAATATAACAGGAGCAGGAGCAGCAGCAGGAGCAGGAGCAGGAACACTGCTCACTCTTTAGCTCAAAAATATAATTTCCATCAACTTTTTGGTTTTGTGTTTTTCTGTTTGTTTTTTGTTGTTTTTGTTGTGTTGTTTTTTGTTCTGTTGTTTGCTATGCGGTTGTTTTGTGTTTTTTGTGTGTACTTTCCCAAGTGCGAACAACCAACAACAAAATGCAACCACTGGCACAAAGAAGGGGCGTGGGCGGCTGTTTGGGGGCGTGGCCAGAGGGCCTAGACACCTGGCCAGACGTATTCGCAACTTTCAGCACACAAAACTATTTGCAAATATTTTATTTTTGCGCTTATTTCCACTTTCTATTGGTGTTGCTGCCACGCCTACGCCGCCAGACTGACATTGAAACTATAAGTAACTCTCCATCTATATGTATGTAGTAGTTAGTGTATATGTACACACATACATATATACGGAAAAGGGGCGGCGAAGGCGTTGGCCAAAGAAGCTTAGCCGAGGCGTCAGGTAATTTGTAGCTTAAAAAAGCAACAATTCAAGCTAATTGAATTGGGCTTGCTGCGAAATGAATAACCGTTGAGTGGAAAGAATTATCCAGGGGAATACTGCAGGAAATTAATACAAGTTTTAGTTTAACATAAATTCGTTAGTTAGTTGCTATGTTTTAAAACGCATTTCGAAGAAGAATTCTTCTAAGCTGTTTTCTCAATTGCTTTAAAAAATTGTTGCTGCTGGTGTCCCTTAAACTCTCCTGCCCGATCATACTCAGTCGGCGGACTGAGTGCATTCACAGCTGCCGCGTCTTGCACTCACTTGACACTCACTCCACTCGTGTGTGAGTGTCTCCGTGAATACTTTCTCAAGTAGGTGTGAAGCTCAAAACGCATTTTCACGCGCCAACGCAGCTTGAATGTCAACGTCGTCGCCATATAATTATCGTCGCATCATCATCATCTTCTCAACGGAGAGAGAGTCTGGGTCTGAGGCTCTAAGGCTGGCGACATACTGATGAAAATGTGGAAAATATCATACAAAAAAAAACAATAAAAAAAATGTACAAAAAATGTACAAAAAGGGGGAAGAACAGGGGCATCTGTTCACCTACTTTCAGCTCAACTGGGCGTGGAACTTGGGAGCGGTTTTGACGGCTAACGGGAGCTTGAGACGTCGCCACACGTGCTCAAGTGGCCAAGGCTGCAGCTCGGCCTGTGACCTCCGGGAACGCCTCGAGATTCATGTTCGCAGATTGGTCTCTTCGATTGCCAAAAGCTCGGGAAAAATTATTTGCTGCCAATATTGTGCAGCGAAAATATTCAGAATAAAAAAAATAAAGCACACAGTACTCTCCCATCGACAAATAGATTGCTTTTATACTGGTGTACTTCTAAAGGATATTCTTTTGTCTTATAATATCTTTAATAAAACTTTTCTAAGGATTTTGAACTTGGGCTTAACTCAATTAGAATCCTTTGCAATATTATTATTTCCAACTCGCAATACCCATTTTTAAGGACTTAAAGGAATAAACTGTAAAATAGTAGAACGAGAATATTGCCATCACTGTGATCACTGTTTTTGGTGTATCAGTGTATCAGTATTAAACCCCGCACTTAATTTTTGGAGTAGGAAACCCAAAAAAGATAGTACATCGCCAAAGGACACTTTACACCATAGATAAGATACTCCCCGCGTTTCACACCCACTGCATATGCACATATAATATGGTATGATATATCCCTCCCAAAAAGCTTCGATCACTTCATTCCCTATATTCTATATTCCATTTCTATATTCGATCACTCACCTGCCGCTCTTCGTGATGACCATCTCCGTGCCCAGCTTGTGGAACTTCTCCCACAGGTCCTTGCCCTCGAGCGTGACCTTGGGATCGTCGACGACGCCATCGTCCTCGGGCTGGAGCGCCCGGAGCGGTCGCATCGCCGGATGCAGTTGGTGGGCGACGGCCGAGGCGAGGACCACGTCCTCGGCGGTGGTGTACGCGCTGCCCAGGTGGTGGGCGTGCGGATGGGCGCCCGGGTGGTGCGGCGGGAAGCGCAGTCCGCCGCCGGGATACAGACCCGGATGCGGTCCGGCCGGACTGCCCGCTAGAGCGGCCAGTGCCGCTGCTGGAAAGTACGGCGGTGGCGGTGGTGCCGGGTGTTGCTGCTGCTGCTGCTGTTGCTGTTGTTGTTGCAGGTGGTGCGGCGGTGTGGGTGGCGGCAGGCCCGTCGCCCCAGCCGTTGGTGGGGCAGCGGCACCCGTGCTCGGCGAATGATGGGCTCCGCTGGTGGTGGTTGGGTGGTGCGACGGATGGGCGGCAGCCGAGTTGCTGCTGCTGCTGCTGTTACTGTTCGGCGGTGGTATCGGCGGTACACCAACAATTGTGGGCGGTGGTGTGCCCGCTGGCGAGGGCGTTTCTTCGGTGGTGCTCAAGTGGTGTCCTTGTTTTTGATTAGTTGTGTTATTATTATTATTATTCGTATGGTTGTTATTATTATTATTTGTATTGTTGTTATTGTTGTTGCTGGTGTTGTTGTTATTATTGTTGTTGTTGTTGGAACTAGAGTTGTTGGTATTGCTGGTGGTGGTGGTGTTGCTGCTGCTGTGGTTGCTTTGCGGCGATAACTGCGCACCACCACCCGTTGGTGAAACGGCCACTAGATTGTTGGTGTTGTTGACGGAGCTGTTGGTGTTGCTGTTGTTCGCGTTGTTACCGGAGTTGTTGTTGCCGCTGTTGTTGTTGCTGTTGTTGCTACCCGCCGTCAACAGCGAGGAGACGCTGAAGTCAGTGGGTCGTTGCGTTAGCTGAAGAAATGGATGATATGCCATCCCATTGGCAAATCTGGCGAATGGATCCTCAGCAGACTGATGAAGTAGCAGCTCCTGGACGTCGTATCTCATCACATAACCGTTTCAAACAACCAAGTGCGTCATGCAGAAAGGACTTCCCACGGCGATCTCTTTTCGGGATCTCTAATCTCCAATTTCCTTAAATGTTTGTTTGTTTTTTGTTTGTTTCAATTTTGTTCTACAGGTACTTATTTTTGTTTTATTTTCTTTTTTTTTTTGGGACACTCACTGGCACTCTTATTTTTTTGTTGTTGTTTCAAAAAAATTTGTGTTTAATTGCTACAAAAAACATAAAGAGGATATTTAGTTGATTTAGCCGCTTGAGATTTTCGAGAACGTTATGAGGGGATTTAACAGGAGTATTTTGGGATGAATTTTGAACAACTTCGCTCATAGTTTATACTGCCCTAATTGTGGCTTTAATTTATGTAAGCAAACCTGACTTTGTAATGAACATTTTTAAGAGATAATAATATTTATACTCTTTTTGCTGTCTTGCTTAGTTTCATACTTGTTTATTAAAAACCTATTCCTATCTATTTCTATTTCAGAAATCGACCTATCTTTAAAATCTTTGTCGGTATACAACCTTATAATACTCAAGTGCAAATGCTTTTTTTTTTCTATACGATAATAATTTTCTTCTCATCTTGGTTTCTTATTTGCGGCTTAAAACTAAAATAAGGAAATGTAGCACGTTATTCAGCGTAGAACAACAATTGCAGCATACATCACGTATACGCCTAATAGTTTTTTTCGAAAGTATTCCTGAGGTTTTAAATTTTTCTAATTTTAAATGCTAAAGCTCTCTTCTTTTCTCCTGTTTTTGTTTGTTCATTCTTTATTTTATTTCATTTCTTTTTGGCTTGTTGTTCGTTTTAAACATTCGCTTGCCTTTTGTTTGATTTGGCGACGGCAAAACGTTGAAATTTTATAAACCTCGGTTTAAGTTTCTGTTTTTTTGTTTTTTTCACAGTTTCACTTGGCATTAGTAAGTTTTCCCAAATTGACGCAAATAGTTGATGTTCGTTTGTTTTTTTTTGTAATGCTTGTATGTTTGTTACCAAAAAAGAGAACGCAAAAAAAAAGCGAGCACAACGAATGAGATCGCAAAAGAGAGCGAAGAAGGAGGTGGTAGGCGACGAGACGACAACGAACAACGAACGAAGGGAGAAACAACAAACGACGAGAAACGACGGGGGACAAACGACAAAAGCGACAACCGACAGGCGACAAAGGCGACAGAGCGGCGATGACGACACGAACTACACGCCGGTCGCATTCAAACTGGAAACTGGAAATACACACACGCCAAAACCGGCGTCGACTGCGCTGCTGTCGCTCTGCTCCTCCTCTGCCCACTGTTGAGGCTCTCTCGCTCTCTCATGCTATGCCATATGGGCGTACGAGTAAGACGGCGATACACGGGGGTGCTCCAAACGAGTAAGAGCGAGCGAGAGGGCAGGAGTGTTGAGTTTCTCTAACAGAGGGCGTGTGCAAGTGAGAAAGAGAGCGAGAGAGAGAGTAAGTGAGCTGCGGGGTTCCAATAAGAAAACCAAAAACTCGGACCAAAAGTGTTGAGTTGACGCCGGTGTAGGTGTGTGTGTGAGTGAGTGTGAAAGCGGGTGTCTGTGTGTGTCGGTGTGTCTGTAAGCCTGTGTGTGTAATGGGAAATGGCACCAACCAACGGCGGCAGCGACGTCGCGTCAAAAGCAGCGTGTTAGAAGTAACAAGGCAGCTGACACCACTACAAGAAGAAGAAGAAACAGGTTGTGGATAGGGGAAGGGGTCAGCAAGAAAAAAGATGAGGTGGAGTAAAAGCAGAAGAAAGCCTAAGAGCGGACAAAATCAAGCAGAAGAAAATATATTAAATAAATAGTTAAATATAATAAAAAGAAAAACCAATAAGAGGAAGAAAAACAAGATACCGAAAATGTGCAGAGAAGAATTATTAAAAAACCAACGATTAGGCAAATCAAAGTTAAATAATGAGGAAATAAATTTAAATAAATAAATAACAATTAAAGAACACTAAGTTTTAAGCCAAATGCTTCAGTTTCTGATTAAAAAGGGGGTTAGTAAAAAACATCAAAATACAATGGTTTAAACAAAGTTAAAAAAATGTGTGACATGGTATATTTTAATACAATAGGTTTAACTTCCTAAACAACTACATATAGGTAACTTCCTAAAAAAAACAAATATACATAATTAAGAACAAAAAAACCAAATTAAAAAAATGGTCAGTAAACAGAAGCTAAAGGCAAATAAAAAGGGACAGTAAATCACAACCTTTGGGGGTACGACTAAAAAAGGGGGCGTAACACTGGGGCGGTAGAATCGCAAAGGAGCAAATAATGAAAAAAATCAGCCAAGTTGACAAATGACGCGCAAGCGAAAAATGCGCTTCAATGGTCAAATGTTTGTCGTGTGGACGGAGAAAGGGGGTGGGGTGGTGAGATAAATGCGCTAGAGGGTTGGGGTTGTGGTGAGATAAATGAGGAGGACAGGCGGGACAAAAGGGGATGGTATTTCCCATTCAGAGATAAAAAAAGCGGCTGCGAGAAGCACTTTAAGGCACAAAAGTTGACCTAGAATGACCTCCAGACAATCAAAAGGCACTGCTCGAAAAGGATGCCAGGTAACCCTCAATATATTTTGGGTTTCAATAAATAAATAATATTGTAAATTAAGAAAACGCTCGTTAAGTGTATTTACAAATTGGTCTTTACTTCTTCTGATGGTCAACGAACAATTTTGTATCGTATATGCTGTAGACTGTATAACCAAGTTGGGGACTATTTTTTTAAGTTTGTGATTTCTGTCACATTTATAACAGAAAACTGTCAGATAACACCAAGTGTTTGCCTGTTTGTTCAGTCTAAGCCTCTCCCTAACCAACCTTACCCACCTTCTATCCATTGTTAACCCCATTTTGCTCACTCTTAACCCGCCAAAAACTAAACGCTTGTTAGCCGCTTTGGCAGCTTTTATGCGTCCCTTAAATGTAAATGAAAAGATTTCGGACTTGCGAAGGGGATAGCGGTAAGCGAAAGAAATTCGCAAGTGCGAAAAAGCAGAAGAGCATCAACGACTTCGACGCCGACAGAGGCAGCGGCGTCGACAGAAGCAGCGACGTTGTGTGACAAACTTGTCGCAAAAGTAAAGCGCAAACACGGCGAGTGCGAGCGAGATGGCAGATGGCGAGAGGCGTGCAAATGAAAAGGCAACCGGCTCAAGTCACCAACACCAAGAAGCCAAATGTATTTTGTCACACGTACTTACACATACAAACACACACACTGAAAGAGGAGACAAAGAGCGAGCTGGCAATATGGCGGCATTACCGTGTGCAAGAAAAAGACGGCAAGCGACTTGCTTCTTCCTCTTTTGCTTGTGTGACAAGTTTAACCACAAACACACACACACTCACTTGCAGAGAGGAGAGCACAATCAAAATGGAACCTCTAATTCTCTCTCCTGCGCGAAAGAGATGCAAGATGAGGTGACAACATTGGAGCGTCTGTGTTAGTGTGTGTGTGCGAGTGTTTGTGGTGTGAAAAATTACAGCAAAAGCAGCGACGTTCCTCGTTTCTTCGCTTTGGTTGGTTTTTTCGACTCTCTTTTTCGATTGTTTTTGTTTTTTTCAGTGGTGTGGGTGCTAAGAAGGAGGATGGGAATAAGGACGGATATTGAGGAGGGCAGCTGGAGATGGCGAGGTGTAAGGTGATTTAATTGGTCTTCGGATTCCGTCCCTCAAAACAAACAAATCCTAAAATAAGGGCTCAGATTTCCTCTAATTTCAGTTCACTTTTTTCGATGCAAGAGTTACAGATGTAAAAAAATTTTACAATGTTATGAAAACTAAATCACCAATTACAAATTACAAAAGACAAATTCAAATGTACAAAAGACACACACGAATATACACGAATGCCGTGAAAAGTCTGTGAAAAGTTAAAAGTAAAAAGGTGTTAATAAACAACCAACCAAAATGCCGAGAAGTCTTCAGAAAATCTCAAGTTTTTCGGCGTTTTTCAAAGGGTTTTGAAGTTCTCTCCCTTTCTCACGCTCTCCAGCTCTCTGAGTATTGATTAAGTGTGTATGTGTATGAGTGAGGTGTGTTGAAAAAGCTTACACTTACACAGCATCCCTCGTTCTCTTTTGCTCTCTTTAAGTGATTTTTTGTTGGCGCTTTGAAGCTAATTAAAACTTGATGTTCGCGTGTGTTAAAAGGAAAGAAGTAAAAAAATCCTCATAATTATCAGAGAAAAACTTTACTTTAGCTGTCTTTTCCAGGTATCTGCGTCTTTCTTTCTATTTCGCACTCTTTTGTTTATTTGCTTAACATGGTTTAGATGCGTACGTGTGCGTGTGAGTCTGCGACTGTTTGCTTTTTGTCTGTGTGTGGGGAGGCATTTCTATCTTTCTCTCTGTCTGTGTGTGTAGGGGCCCCTTTCTCCTTGTTTCTCTGTGTGCGTGCCTGTGTGTGTTTTTGTGGAAATTTACGAGCTGCGCGCGTTAAATTATCTAAATATGTTTGGGGCAAAAAGGTGACGACGAATGGGTTAACACTTTGAAAAGCTGCTGATGCGATGCGGCCCCTTTATTTGTGTTAGTTTAGATGATTGTGGATTCGTGGGCCTGAGTGGAGTGTGAGTGTGTGATTATCCCTATCTTTACGGGCATTCAATAACACACATATACATTCAAGAGTCCAATACGGAAACATGATGAAATCTTGGTTAGAATGGTCTAAGAAGAAGCCTTAACCATTCCTAAATGGCCACTTAAATCAAAAGAAAACTCATCCATCAAATTCTTGAGAAATATCCCATAAATTTCCACCATTTTCATTACTAATTTACAATTGCTTCAAGCGAAGATTCGAAAAATGACGAATTGGCGCTTGTTTTTCTTGCTCGTCGGTTGAGGCAATCGATAAAATTAGCATAAAATTAAATGTAATATATGGTAAAGGAAAACAATGGTTGGACTGGCAGCCGACCAAAAAATGGGGGAGGAAAAATCAGATATCGGGTGGAAATAGAGAAAGAGCATCGTAAAATGGGGAATAGAAAATGTCTAGCCTTATGTGAACAGTATATAGGTACATGAATGTTAACCTATAAATGTGTGTGGGTGTGTCGCATATAGTGAGTTTCTTTAGTTTTCTCTCCTGTTCCGCAAAAATCAAACTCCCCAGCGTTCACTTATCTCAAATATTTATGATATCTTACGGATATATCTATCCAATTTACGGCTAAATCACCTATGTTATTACCTTCTTAAAACTTCCCAATTAAAACTCTCTGGCGAAACACCTTTAATTAACTGCTTTCTGTGCTATAATAAAAAATGTTTTTAATTTTTTTTTTTTATAAAAAAAATATTTTTTAGTGGTAAACAACTCCGGGTGGTATTAATAAAAGAAAGAATATTGTTTTGTCCCTACTCTTCACTTTTTGATCCCTTTCACCCCTTTTCCCGTCGTCTGATAAGTGTTGCCTACTTTGGAGCGTCAAGTAAATTGCCAACCATTGTGGGCGTTTGGACTGGTGGGCGTGGGCGTGGGTGGAAAATGGGTGGCCATTGCAATTGCTCAATTACAGTGCAACAGACAATGCACACACACAGATGCACGCGCACCGCAGCTGTGTGTGTTATGTTGTGTTGAATTTCACGCCAGGCTGCCAAGTGTAGTCCGTAGTTTTTCGCCATTTTTAACGCGTCTGCGTATGTGTGTGCCGGCTGCCCGCGTGTCTGTGTCTGTATGTGTGTGTGTGTATTTATTGTTTAATTAACTTTACGCCTGTCTATCACACACACACACTAACGTCTGCCAGCCGACGGAGAGACAGACTTTCGATGTTGTTTGTTCGGCTTTGGTTGCTGTCTGTGTGTGTCTGGCTTTCCATGTATGTGCGCGGATGTGTGTGTGTGTGTGTGTGTGAGTGCCTCGTCCTGTGTATAAGTGCATTCTGTGCATAGTCCTTGCATCCTGCGCGCTTGTTGTTGTTTTTTCAGCTCAACACAAAAGTTAATCAGTTAGGGCAATGTGTGAAAAACAAAGTGCATTTCCCTCGAGAGCCCATCTCACCCACCCACTCACTTTCTTCCTTCCCGTCATCGCCCATCGCTGAGAAGTGCAACAAGGATTGAGTTTCCAGAGAGGATTATCCAGTAGTCACCTTGTAAGCGTTTCGGTGCTACTTACACGGGATTTACCAGTTAATCATATCACTATTTTGTGAATCGGATAATTTCAATAAAACCTTTTC